GATGTCGTTAACATCATGTGCTGCAAATATTACAAAAGGTAGAGTTTTGATAAAAATACTTGATGAATATATAAGTTTATATTCTTCCTATTCATATAATCTCTAATTATAATAAGTCTTATGTTCTATATTCGATTGCCCAATATTACAATTATACAAGCTTTAACCGAAGACTCTAACAGCATGGTTCTATATTACTGCCTTTGCCTTTGTGTGAAGTTAAAGTATAAAAATGTATACCTTTAGTTAATTTTAATGGCCTTGCCTTTGAAAGGTGCTAGAGTAATATAGCGCATACATACTACATGGGACATTTAGGTGGATGTAGTCAAAGTGTTATACTTATTACATACATGACGCCATGTTGCCATCAGAAGGAACATAAATGTTTACTGCCTTTTCCTTTAGCGTACGTCGATGGCCGTAGTTGGAGAAGCACAATGTAGGAGCTCAAAAAGTGAAACATCAAAGTGCAGTCAAAATTGCAAACTAAGCGGGACGGCATTGTTGCGGCGCAAAAAAGGACGTAAAGGAATTCGAAATCAATTCGCATCGTTGAAACATCAAAGTGATGTGTAAGACAAGTGTACCGATGGCGAAGGTATTACATTAAACGTCAGAAACGGCGCCCATAAAACAGAATTGTTAAATTTTATTATTCAGAGAATGGTTAAGTCGCGGTTAATGAAACTTACATGAGCAGATCGGTCTGCTCGTACTAATCAGGTGACTAAAACGCCTATGAAAGCGGCTATTTTACTCCTAATAAGGTCACCACTATTAATAACAATAAACTGAATGTGGCGATAATAGTATTACAAGAACCAGACGATCGCCGGCGCGATGGTTGCTCGGCCGTCCGCCGTCGTGGAGGAATTCCAAACTACCCATTATCATTTGTTAACGTTAGCGCTTTCAGTATGGCCGACGAGCAAAAACCCCGCTCGCATCGGCCACTCTCTCTCCGCTCCTCATGAATTTACAAAATATACTGTGAGAATCGTGTAACCCACTTTATTCAGCTTCTGACCACTCCTGTGGATACCAATAAGGATGGTAATAACGAATTCAGCAACACCATAAGTGCAAAAACTCGACGGAAAACGTAATACAAAATATCGAGTCTGAAATGACAAATCCCTAGAACGTCGAAGAAATAGATGTACCACCAAAAACTTTGTTTCTATTAATTGAGAAATTAAATGTATTAAGGCCCCTCATCATTTAGTTCTAGAAACAACAACTAAGGGCCAAATTCAGGGACATCCCTAAATGTATACTAACCTTTCACTCATGTCAGACTTATGCTTCACTCAACTTGGGGTGCCCTCATCTCTTTCTTAACTCTGGTATTCGGAAATGTGTATAAATGAGTGACTAACAGGTAAAAGCGATCTTCACATAAACCATGGTGTACCCAGTAATAATAATAATATTTAGGTCATTTTCCCTACACTTCATACAGAGTAGAATGAGTGACAAGCAATCATTTATGACGTATGTATCAGAACTAATTTCTGAAAAATAATTGTAATTTATATTGCGTTCACGTACAGAATATCCTTTATTGAATACCTGGACTTAATTATTCGTAAAAAATACTGCTAGAATATTATGAAACCACAAAATTAATAAATTGGGAACACAGAAGCACACGTCAGACATCACTAATATGTCACTAACCTAGCACTCATTTGTGAGGGCGATTTGAGTACGATTTAAGTGACTCACTGAAGTAGAATTGTTTATGAATACGATTAGGGTGAGTTTAGTAGCACCCACACTCGCATCCACATATAACACAATAATTAGAGAAATAACAAGTAACTTTTTGCTTTTTATGCAACTATCGACTACATGCCGAATAACTTTAGTTGAATTGTTGTTAACATTGTTTTGTAAAAGACGAGATTATGCATTGAAGTTGGCGGTTGCTATACAGTAAAACCGAAACTCAGATTGAATTAACACTAAATGCTTCGCATTCATTCACAGTCAATGTAAAAAAAAATAAACGTTAAACCTTAACCTTGATTCAGGATTAAAGTCACTAGTTATGGACTTCATTATTGTATGATCTAGTGGCGAAGCAGACAAATATTGTAGGTGTAAAGATCCTTAATGTAAAATTGCATGAGTAGATCAAGAAAAAGAAATACACGTTTACACGCATTAATTTACTATTCATATAATTTTGGGTGTAGAAAAGTGTATATACAGGGTGATTCACAAATGGTGACCAAAAATGAAACCTCGTATTCTCTGGTGAATTTTAAGTTTTAGTCTTTCCTATAAAGTTTTTATCTAAGACGCTTCGTTAAAAAGATACAGGGCACTTCAAAAAATATTTTTAATTTTTTTAAATAATTTATAAACTATTAAGTGAAATAATTTGAAATTGGGCACAAGTATTTATGTAAACATTGTCCAAAATCTGAGAGCATTTCCTAAAATTTGCATGCTCCAGTGGCGGAGATACAGGATATCGGTGGCATATTTTTCTAAATAAAATAGTACGCCACTGCTTTGTGGTAATAACCATGATATTTTCGAATTCGTCTTTCAGTTTTCTACAAATTACTACTCTCTTATATTTTTGAAAAAAGCCTGATTCTCGAGTAAAATTTAAAAACCAACTGAAAACACTTTTACTTAAATGATATTACACTAATAATTCGGTTATTTATTCGAATAAAGAAATTAATAACATTAGTCATCATATTAATGCTTTTATTTGAGTAACTGCTCAAAAATACCTCCATTTATTAGGCTCGATATCATTTTAGTAACCAAAATATAATTTGTTCGCAATTGATTGTTGCTCGAATCTGATGAAAAACATTATTTATTCTTTCTTCTAACTGCTCAGAATGTCAAAGTTGCTATCCCAGCCCATTATGTAATTTTAAAATGCATTATATTCGAATATCGAAGTGTGTTCTCAATTCGTTTAAATTTTATTGGAAAATCGGGCTTTTTTCGAAAACCATAAAAGAGTAGTAATTTGTAGAAAATTGAAAGACTAATCTGAAAATATCATGGTTGTTACCATAAAGCCGTGGCGTACTATTTTATTTAGAAAAATATGCCAACAATACCCCATATCTCCGCTACTAGAGCATGTAAATTTTAAGAAAAACTCTTAGATGTTGGACAATGTTTACATAAATACATGTGCCCAATTTCAAATTATTTCACTTGCTAGTTTTTAAAGTATTTAATAAAATAAATTAAAAATATTTTTTGAAGTTTAACACCTTGTATCATTTTAAAGAAGCGTCTTACATAAAAACTTTATAGGAAAGACTCCTCTTAAAATTCACCAAAGAATACGGGTTTTGGTCACCATATGTGAATCGCCCTGTATATCATATTTGTTTGTGTTTATTTTATAGCAAAATTAGAAAAAAGAATAATACGTTCTTGGCAAGAATACTGGACATGAAGACATTCAACATAAAAAATTATGTATACCCTAAAATCGCCTAGTTTCCAAAATATCCCCTTTCCTGGCTTTCGAACTAGACTACTTCTTTTGACGACTATTTTTGAATCTTTTTATTGATCAGATTTAGTTCTTTCATATTTTAAAAGATATTTTAACCACTATGTATTGTTTAACACGATTCTTTTTTAATAAATACATCACTCAAAGAACTCCATGCAGCAATTGAGTTTATAAAAACAAAATGAACAAACTATGAGCCACAAAATGATGTATACAAAAAAGTAAACTTACTTTTTCGTTGTCTTTACCAACAGGAAACATAATGTGTTTGAATTTTTTAAACATTATCGAAGCTTCAGGATACTAGAGAAACTCCAACAGAGCTAGTGCTTGCATTTGCCTGCAGCATGGATCTGTTTGAACCTTTCACTAGCGGCAAGCACGATATGTTTTGAGTTGTATTTCTTTGGTTTTATTTACATTAGTGTGAAATTTCATAATCACATATTTTACAATGAATACATTTTTACCACAACACATTTTTAATTGCATATGAAACTGTCCAATTACCTCTTAAAAATGGAAAAAGTATCTTAAAAATGAAAAAATATTCCGTAAAGAGAAATATAATTTCCAGTTGGACAAAAATTTCCAAGAAAAATCTGGTTTCGGTATTAAAAATTCATGTTTAACAATCATTCGAATAAATGGTTACAGAGTAATTATTAATACAACGAAAAAAATATAATCATTAACAAACTGCGTTGTTTCAGGGCATACTTGTGTCTATTAAAAGTGTTAACAATCAAGTTTGACATTGCACTAAAGGGAAGATATGCATAAAAAAATTTCAAAGTTGGCGTGCAAACTACTTTTCCACATGCTGATAATTCCCATGAATTTACAATTATCGATAATTCTACTGCGTTATATAGTTAAAAATAGCAATATTAAATAAGGAGTAATTGAAATTTTAAATATAAGTTTTGATGTTTGTAAATGGATGTTTGAGAGATGAGTTTCAAAGGATTGTTCCTAATTTATTAAAAATACAAAACAAACAAAAAATAATCAAAGCATCGTACGAATACTCCCAGTTTGTAGTAGAAAATAAATATATTATGAAATTTTCCTACAATATGGAAATAATTTCACGACTGCAATAATAATCACTATTTAAATATCGAAATTTCGCACAATTTGTGCCTTCCATGATTTTAGGAACAATTGTTAGAATTTTCATAACAATATTTTAATTAATTTTAATCTTTCATTGGTAGCAAAAAAATAAAATGCCTATTCGTACAAAAAATTGTTGTTGCATTTAGAATCGGTAGTTTTGGTATTAGTCAAAGCTTGGTTAACTAACAGAGCTATTAGATTGCAAATATTATACACATTTTGTTCACGTTACTCACTAGGTTAACTCACAAATGATCTTAACTGAAACCAAGCTTTAATTGGTACAAAAAATTCGGACATTAGATAAATGTATAGGCAAAATGTCTTAGAGAATAGTTTGTGGTACTGATCGATACTATTTTTGTTCCAGGTTTGGTTCCAAAACGCCAGGGCCAAGTGGCGGCGGATGATGCTGAAGCAGGAGGGCAAGTCGGGAGATAAATGCTCCGTATCTGAGAGTATGAGCGATATGGATCTGTACCCTCATGGTCCAGCCTCGATGGGCAGTAGTATATCAATGAATCCGCACAGTCCTCCATTTATCATGCCTTCAGGTAGCCCATCCTCGTTAGATTGTTCATGAAAATAAGCCCTAGGCGATTGTGGAATAAAAAAAATGTTAAAGCGAAGTATTTATTTATGGTGACTACGATTGTGATGAACTATTTTGATACAAATCGTGCGTCTTTTTAGTTGACAACGCTGATTGACAGGGTGAGATAAACACTCATTAAAATTCATTCGGGATTCGGATACAGGGTGGCCCATGAAATTAATGTGACTGTCTGTGTTAAAAAAAATCAGAACCGTTGCAATGGCGCACCTATATTGAAATCTTTGAAAACATTTAGCACCAATTACTAACCACCCAGCGGTCTCAATTTTTATAGCTAACACCCCACATGATCGGAGTGTGGGTGAGGTATAGCCTATAAGGTATGTCGTTGTTACACAATGCCTATTGACGTAATATTGCTTGTTGGCAGAAAGCGACCTTCTAATCTCTAGGTACTGTGAAAGCCTGACCTGTTTCGCAATATCTAGCAAACATTCATCAGCAGAACCCGCAAAAAAGATACACTTTGTACGTTATAACTCACTCACACCTAAAGCGTGTCGGTAAATAGACACGTAAATAGTCAAAGCTTTCGTCGGTTGTCTCGCCTACGATATACTGATAAGAACTAATAAATATGAAATTTGTCTATGTACAGGGTGTGCTATTTAACACTCCCGCTGCCAAAATCTCCGAAATGAAGAAATTTATTTTAGTTCTGGAAATTGGGGTTGTTAGGTCCCTCGAATAGCTTCAAATTGTAGTTAGAACTGTTAGTTCAAATCTTTCTATATAGATGGCGTGGCGATACTAAACAATTTTTTGTTCCCTGGAACGTGGAAATACAAATGCTAATGCTATACTAATGAATTTCCTTAGTTTTTAATGATTAAATTGGATCGATTAAAACAAAAGATATATTCTTTTTAATTTAAATGCATTGGGATAATTCGAAACGTCAACAACTTTATAGTAATGTCTATTTTGTATCTCTATACTCTTTTCAGTGTGGGATTTCTGATTAGGTAAAAATATCTTCATAAGAAATAATCATTGACTGATTATGTTAGCGTAAAGACTCAATTAATTTATTTTTTTAATTTAGATCTCATAGGATAGAATACCAATACCCAATATGTATAGAAATAAGTAATTTCAGACCATAAGGCAAGCCATCTTTAGAGATATTACGTTAAAAAATCAATTTTTAAACTTTATCACCTTGCATCTCTGAAAGGGGTATTTCCAGGCCTTGTTTATTGGAACTTTTTTCCTAATTAGTATTGGGATCCTGTAAAAAATCTAGCGAATAGTTATTTCCATTCACCGCCGTCAGTACAAGAGATTATTACCTATAATCTCTTCTATTTCTCTAAAACATCAGTTAAAATTTCATTTTAAGTGCTAACTAACTAAATTAGTGGATCACTGCGCTATTGATTAAGTCATTTTACTCAACAGTAAAACTGAACATAAATTGAAACAAATAAACTCTTAGCAAAAACATATTTAGATCTGGTTAAACAGCCTAAGAGGAGCAGTCATTGGATATGAGTGACTATAGTTGGCTTTAATTCATAAGGTGCCACATTTAATTTTACACTAACATGCTAAATATTTGATTACTAATATGAAACACTTAGTATGATCTTGGTAACTATTAGCATATACGTGTTATCTTTATTATTATTAACATGGTTGGATTCCAAGTTCAAAATATAACAAAGGTTTGACAAAGTTGAATTAATTTTTAATGAGTTTTCAAGAAAATTCACTTATAAAATGTATTATTTGACTATACCCAAAGGTTTTGCCTGAAATATTCCATAGTATTAAAATTATTTTTCGTCTTTGGTCTCATGGCAAAAAATTCAACAATTGCAGACCGAAACGGTATGAAAAATATCCTATTTCCATATAAAAATCAACATTTTCCTGTAAGCCAACTTAGCTTGGTCGGATATATCGGATATAATGCTACAAATAATTTGAAGTTATTCTAAAAATTGCAGGAAGAAGGCTACAAGAGTTGTATTGCCACCCTCCTCCGCTTTGAAGTTATAATAATTTCAGAATGTGGCACTACCATTACAATGTAGGTGGTAGGAACTATTAGAAGCAACATTATGGGTGTTAAAATAGAAAGCTGAACTAGTAGCGAGATCTCAAATTTGAAGTTATAATAACTTGAAAGCCACTTTGATGCTAGCTATAAAAAGTGGGAGCTATTTTAGATAATGCTAGATGAAATTTTAAACTAAGTGGTGCTAGTTGATTATGAATTGGTGGTAAATATTTTCACAAAAATTCAACGTAATAGTAAAATAATAGTAAACAGACAGAAGATACTACATCTGCAAAATATGTTTCAATCAAAAATTTCATTCAATCTTATAAATGTAATTTATACTAGAAATTGTTAAGAAATGAGCATACGAATTTTCTAGATGAACTTAATCGAAAAATGTATGTAGTAACATGGGTCAGTCTGCAGTTATTTTCGTGCAAAAAAAACTTTTACATCCGGTAATAATTATCTACTTTTTCTCGGGATCATATAGTGAAGGTCAGAATAACTGTAATCAGATTCATAACAATCCTGAAATATCATTTCATTGTGCACTAGGAAACCCAACGTAGAGTAAAAAAGTGTATGGAATGTTGTTTTCGAATACTTGTCGAAGTGATGTTTAATATTTTCTCATTTAAAATTTAAAATCTTACTCTCATGCAATGACCAACCTTTTGGACTTGACAGTTAAAAAAAAATAAAACTATGAAACTGATTTAAAATAAATAAAATCTTGTTGCTGTTATCCGTTTCAAAAATCTATTTATCGTTTATGTTATCTGCATACCTTTTCCAAAGGAAAATCTTTCGATTGTCTAAAACTAATAATTTCCAGTGCCAGTGCATTTCTGGATACTTTGTAATAACAAAATATCGGTATCAATTCATAAAGCCTTATCTGTAGTACCTACACTATGTCATAATTTACATTGTGATTTCAATGTACCCCTTTGATGCTCGATCATAAAAAAATCCTAGTGTTGTTTTGACCTTCCCTAAGTATATACTTTCGAGAGATTCGTATATAATTACGGGACACCCTTCCTTTTCTCTTGAAGAAGTTTATAGGTACTTGTGTAAGTACACTTTTACCCTTAAAACATCTTGAAACTTGCATTTTTTTAATATTGTAGATTGAATAACACATATGAGTGTAAAGAAATAAAATAACTGATAATGACTGTTACAATAATTTTTTAAATTAAATTGCTTTTTTATAAGTGATAAAGCCTTCTACTAAACCTGATTGTTAGTGTACAATTCTGGTTTCCATCTTTTATTTTTGAATTTAATTGATAAGGGTTTACAAAATTTCGTATAAATAATTAATGAAATTCGCCTAGAAAGAAAATTGTAAATGTAGAATAATTATACATTTCATGCGTGCTTTGATCACCCTGTATAGTAAATTATAAATAAATAAGGAAGTGGTTTGTACTTATTGATAAAAATATGATCGGCGTTGAGGCACATTCCCAGTATGTCAGTCATATGTATAATGTGTCCCAACAAGTAATTATTCTGCACTTTAAATGTTAGTTGTAAATTCCTTAACAGTGTAACGTTCCCATTGTACTGTTAAGGATTTATTTCAGCATGCAATTGTTCCTATAATAAAAATATAATGCACTGTAAATACTACGAGATAAGTAGATTACTATAAATTCTTTTCTCTTGCCGTCTTCCGGGGTACACTGTATAAAAATACATTAAGTCAGAAAATATGTTTTTAGTATTTTACGACTTTAAACCATTGTCTTCCTGATATTTGCCAATGGTTTTCTCAACCATTAATGTTAGATTTTCACTTTTTTCATACTAATAGAGAATGTGAATTTGCAAAGAATTTTTATACTGTTATATTATTTTTAACTTATTTATACATACGGTTCTTTGCAGATATGTAAATGGTTTGTGTAAATGAATATTATGTACGATATTTATGTTAGTGCTACCTCAGGATTTATTGTAAATAATGGAGGTAGCATATTCCTATTAATAAATTACTGATTATTTTAAATGTTGTTTCATTGTTCTCCTAACATCTTGCAATGTATGGTATGTATGTGAATTATATTGTTATGCAACAAATTATACAAGTGGACCATTGTTAAAAAATGTGTCATGTATTCAGGGAATACGTTTAATTCATTAATAAAGAGAACTCAATTCCACTACAATATAATCCATGCTCTTTGAATTATCTGTCTAATTTCAGTTGGGTGGCAAGTACGAATCAAGATACCATATTCCTTTGCTAAGTACGTAACAAAATTATGGAAGTTGAATTACTGGAGAATTCTCTACAATGGGGTACAATAAAGCCGAATAATTTATTAGTTGAAGGGATGTCTTCCATCTGAGAAGAAAATGGCATTTTCTGGTGAAATATAATACCCAAAACACGTATTTTGACTAGCTGGTGCAAGAGTAGCCGATATTACATAGAATTTCCGATAGCCGTAGTGCCGATATTACATAGAATTTCCTTGTAAAGGGTTCATGTAACAATTATTAATATTCAGATCAAAATAATCTGATAGGCACCACTCAGATATTGTGTCGACATCACCTTGCAAAAACCGACAGTCACCAATATTGTATACGTTAATTTAGAACACTTTAGAAAAATTTAATTAATAAGTAGCTCATTTGCATATAATAGAAATAATGAAGGTCCCAAATTCGATCCTAGTGGAACCACAGATGTAGGTGTAATACAGTAAGAAATAATCGATAGAAATAATAGCTAGCTAATAAGCTTTTTTTAAATAAAATATTTAAATATATAAATAATAATCTAAACAATTTAGCAATTTTTTAATTTTATTGTAAAAATCTTTTCAAATAAAATTAAACAATGTTTTTGGATACCAGAAATCTAGGTAAGCAAAAGATATCTAACCCCACAGACAAGATTGCTAACTTGATATTGCTCTATGCTCCAACCAACTAGCCTTGATATGCACCTGCAATATCTAGCAAATAGCTAAAAATAAAATTAATACAAAACAAATTAAATTCAAAGAAATATTTTGCACTTTGTTGTCTTAAGATCACTCTTGACAAATACCAACACCTAAGAAACAGCTTCGATTTCTGCTGAGTAAATGCTAAATATTTTGAATTTTTTTTTTTAAAATACTCGTGAAAATAAAAAATTGACACTTTGTAAGAATAATTGGGACAAAAATTGCAGAGCCGTGCTGATTTACCATTCCTGTCACATTGACATTTTGTTGTTCAGTCGATGCAAAGTTCCGTTAAATTTGTTGTATTCGAGGTGTTTTGCATTTCTTTTTGGAACATGAGAAAAATAGTCAAACATCGAATATAAAAGAATACTAATGAATCTAAAGTTGGAGACAGGTATTGAGTTTTGCAATGAAAAGTTCTAAAATAAATGAAGCCGTCTGAAATGTTACAAAGTTTTTATGA